ATCTAAGTGTGAGACTAATAATGACATGGTTTCATTTATAAGTTGTGATAAGACTATTATGAAATTAGACTGAGCAATTACGATTATTAACACTGAACCTTATAAAGTGACTTTAGGTTTATTTTTGAGTAATGGTTGGTGAAAGGTGGAGTATAAGGGGAGGTAGGAGCCCCAAGAAGACAGTCATCAGTCTTGCCTGAACATTTTAACCCATGGGAAGCTTCCACTCAAAATAGGTACAATCTAAGTTGTGGCGGGCAGGAACGGAAGACACCACTCAGGCACAGGCACAAGCACAGGCATAGGCACCGAGAATATTTATTGATTGTTAAGGAGGCCCCACCAGACAAGAAGTACACTTCAGCACATCTAATTATACCATGTCAAGTAATCCGCTTGTGGAGATGGGTAGATTTTTACTACCACATTTACTCAATTCTAAAACAAGCCTCCCCACCCCTCAATTTAACATGAGGAAACAAAACCCCTCATCTTAGAATTAAGTATGGGGGGGAGGAGGAGGCAGGCAGCCACTGTGGTTTGGGCTCCAGGCTTTACTTGAGGTTAGGGCTGTAGTTGCTGCCTGTCGCCCCTCCCTCTCCCCTCCCCCCCATACCTTGCTATCTCCCCCCGAAGCCTTTTCTCCCTGTCTCCCCCCCAACACACACAGCCTCTGCTCCCCTGTCCCCGTCTGCCCCCTCTGCTTCTCCTTGCTCCATGATGGCAAGCTCTGCATGTTGCAGCCTGGCCTATGGAGCACTGCCCCAGCCCAGGCTTATAGCAGTATCATGTAGCCTACACAGCTGTTGTGGGACTGGGCTGGGGCCATGCTCAGTGCCCCAGGCTAGAACAGCCCTGCCAGCCCAGAGGCTGGGGGGTGGAGGGAGAGCAGAGGCTGGGGGGAAAGGAAGAAGCAGAGGCTGCAGAGAGAAGTGGGGAGCTGAGGCTGTGGATGGGGCATGGCAGGGGGCAGAGGTGGAAGGAGGGCAGGCACAAGCTGGGGACAAGGTGCTTGACCTCCCCCTCACTACCTGCATCCCCCCTGCCTGCCCCCTGTAGCAGTAGGAGGGATGAATTAAAGATGACTCTCTAATAGATTCTATACATGGAAAATTATAACAAATTTATTCATTTTCCATGTATCACATCTATTTATTGTGGAGGTTGTCTTAAATTCAGGGTCATCTTAGATTTGAGTAAATATAGTAATACAATAGCAGCTGACAATTATGACTTGATGAGTTCTATGAATGTCATGAAGAGACATGTATTAAAAGAACAAGCAAGCAAAGACATCACCTTTATAATTAGGGACATGAATGCAAAAGTTGGATGCATAACATCCTACTGGAGATATAACCTCCTATTTTCTGTTACAGAAGTAACAGGAAATAGCAACCAGGTTTCTTAAATGAGTCTAATTTAAGTATGATGTTTTAATCACTAGTCTTTATAAGCACTCAGTATCCTGGACATTTTTATATTCACAGGGGTCACCTAACAGCAAGAAAAAGAAACATGCTTTTTGCTTCTCATCAATCAAAGGGGAGGTATGGAGCAAACTTTGCAGTTTTCTGCAGGTTTCCATGGGAAACAGATTTCAAGGATCCCTGGTTATAACACATTCCATTACACCAACTATAGAAGAAGGCACAAGTAGGGCATCTTTAAACAATTTTATGTTTTGTTGCACATTTATATAGTGTTATAAATGACTGATGTTCTTGCTGAGATGAATTCCTTTTCTAAGAACAAACTTACCATACCTAAGTGTTGTATAAAAATCAATAAGATTGCACAAGATTTAAGCAAGGGCAGAATTTGGGCTCTGAATAAATTCTCTTAATACTTTTAGAAAATCTGTATTGCCCTGCCTAACTTTATACTATTTTAGTAGTACTTGCTATTATTATCACAACACTCTCTTTTACATTGATTCATTTCCTCAAATACTGGGAACATGATCTAGCAGAAAGTAGTTGTGTTGCAAACATTTTATCTACAATTTTCAATCATGCCTTTAACTTTCTCCATCAATTTCTTTTCCTTCAAAAAGCACAAAAAATAAATGGCAGGGTCAAGGGCTGTAACTTTGTTGATCATCATGACATGACTTGTTCATTTTGTGTACCTGAATGTGTAAGCACTTATTTGTTAAAGAACTGCTTATTGTTAATGTTGTGCAGCTCTTCTATTATCAAAAAGTCTGTCCTGTCTTGGTTTTTCCCTGTACAGCTGCTACCTCCAGGTTATCCACATATCAAACCATTACAGAAGTGAATTTAGGATTGAACCTAAAAACTCTCGCTTATATGAGTATCTTTACTTATTCTATGCTACTCAGGTTCTTAAAGAACTCATCACCATGGCATCTGAATGTTGCAGCTAACCCTACTGGGTGCATCCACACATGCAGGCACATGGGCTTGCAGCAGCTCAAATAGGAGAGGCACAAATTTGTGCTAGAGATTTTTGCCTTAGCGCATGTGCCTGAACATGCACTTTGGTGTGGGGCAAGTTTTGCCACTTGGGGCCAGCTGACCCTGCTCAACTCCTCCTGGATCTGCAGCAATATAAAAACCTGCCCTGGCGAGCAGCTCAGGGCTACTTGCTCTCAGGAGCTTCTGAGGTCCAGCTAGTTGACATATGGGGACACTTGCCCCCCCTGTGCCAGCTGGACTGTTGCAGCAGCCCTTACCTACAGTGGCCCCTGTACCCTCTACCCATTGTAGCAGTCTGGCAGTGGGGGCTGCTGCCTGGCTGTGACCCGCTGCCACCTGCAACAGCATCTGCACTCTTGGACCTACAACCCCATGTCTACACACCTGCCAGACCTGGATGGGGATCTGCAGTGCCTGGGCTATAGCATAGGCACTGCAGCAGAGCCATCTGCATCTCTGGACCAGCTGCCAGTGGACCATGGCTGCACAATTGGCCTTTCTGCAACACTGCTGCCACGTGTGCCTCTGCCCTGCCATCTGGGCAGCTATCGCCTGGAAGATGTGCTCAGTGTGGTGGCCTGCTTTGAACTATCAAAGTATGTCCTCCTGGCTTCAAATGGCCAGAAGGTCAGCCACCCCATTTGCCCTCCAGCTGGGTCCCGGGTGCCAGCTTTGAGCAGGCTCCTTTTCCTGGGTCCTGCCACTTGCCACATTAGCAGGAATCCTGATGGTCCCTATTTAAAAAGTGCAAATTCTCTAATATAAAATCCCCAGTTCACTATTTACATTACTCCAGATTCCATGTTTTTCCACAATTAAAACAAAAGACAACTAGAGAGAGAGAGAAATCAGTTGGGCAATGTTTTATCAATATATTTACAATTTTAAAACAATTTGGAAGCCCTACCAGTGCATCTATCGTCAAATAAATTCTAAATATCTATATGCTTTGATGTTTGCTTTGACTTTCTTATCATAGAAAAATTAGAATTCCCCCTGACCCCTTCACTAACCAGGATGTGGGGACAGCTGCCCCTGCAGCCACAGCTCCTGCCCTGTCTGGCAGCTGGGCTTGCTGGGTGTGTGATGGGGGGATTGCAGGAGGGGGGTGGGGAGATGTGGGGAGTGTGGGTGGGTGTGAAGGGGAATGTGGCGTTGGGGGGGGATGCCACACACCCACCAGTGCATGCCTTTGGACAAGAGCCATGGGTGGTGGCAGGAGCCATCCTGGTCCTAGTCCTGGTCCTGGTCCTGGTCCTGTCCAAAGGCACGGTAGTGAGCCAGGCTGAACTGGGCCTGATCTCTGTACACAGACCATAGGTGAGGCAGCACTTCAGCAGGTGCAGCCCAGCTGGCTGCTAGCACCGGGTGTGGCGGGTGTGGGGGGATGTGGGGTTTGTGGGAGAAAAGGTGTGCGGCAGCCCCCACTCAAGCTCCCTTAATCCCACCCACACCCATAAACTCTCACACCCCCATGTCCCTAATTTACCTGGGACAGCACCCAGGTCCCGGTCACACCACAGCCTTACCCCACTTCTGCTTACCCCGGTACACTAAGGGTGCATACTCCATCTCCTGGAGCAGCAGAAGCACCATAGAGACACTCTGGCCAGATACTAGAGCATTTTTATGGAGGACCTGCCTCCAGGTTGCCTTGGGCACAGTCCTGGACCATGCCTTGTCCCGCTTTTTTCTGCGGGGTTTTTTTTATATATACCTGTATTTCCAGGTATCAAATTTAGAGCCTGTGCTGCAAATATGCAGCACAGGGAACATTTTTTTGTTCCCAGCATGCCTCTTGCAACATCTCAAACTGCTTTGACAGGCTGCAAGAGACATGTGCATGCTTGTTTGGATGTGCCCATTGATTTTTAACTGAGTTCTCTATATAAGGACTACAAATGAGAGCAAAGAAAGCCATGTCTTACATGTCAAAATGTTTAGGGATAAAATGAGAATTGCAAAACATAAAACTGAGTTAGGTCTTGCAAAGCACATCAAGAAGGGCTCTTCAGCCATGTAAATAAAAAGAATGGGAATCAAAATGGGACCACTATACAGTGAATATGGAGTAAAAATTAGAGTAAATACATGTATGGACCACACCCTAAATTACTACTTTTCCTCATTTTTCAGTAAAGAGTATGATGTTGAATATAGTACAAAAGCAGGTAGCTAATTGAAATGAAGGACATGAAATGGGAAATTACCTCTATTTAGAAGAAAGCAACATTCAAATTTCTTAATGTGCTTCAGTTGAAGGGGGACTGGATAATGGGCACATGACATTTAGGATTAGTGCAGTTATGTTTAACAGATCTATCTATTTAGACATGATTTTGGTAAGTTAGGGGCATGTCATCTTGGAGAATAGCAAAAACATAGGAAGCATATAAGAGTGAGATAAACTCCGTTTAGTCTGACTTCAACAGAGTGTAGAACTCACAACAAATTCTGAAGAAAAGAGGTATTAAAACATGGAGGTAAACAGAATACAATAAAACCTGGGTTTACTGGGTTGGGTTACCAGACTAACTCAATATTTTTCTCTGATTACAGATTTTCTACACAAAGGAAATGTAATAGATCTCAATTGTCTAGACTTCAGTAAATTATTACATATGGGAAACATGGGAAATTATTAGTTGATCTGGAGAAGATGGAAATTAGCTGAAGTACTGTAACACTGGAAAAGAACTGTCTGAAAGTCAAAACTCCAACAGGTAATGTTCAAGGGGGTCACATGCAGAGAGGCATTTTCCTCAGGCAGGAGAAAGATCCAAAGCCCCAGAAGCCAGGACTGGTAGAGTCAGCAGGAACGTGGATC